TGTCGTGTTTGACAACTACATAGGATCATTCTGGCAAGGTAACATAAACCATATTCTGCAAATATTTGATATATTATTTTAACATAAATACCAACATATAAAAAAATATCAATTAACAAGAACAGCTAGCAGAAGAGCAGTCAATTAACAGACTACAACTCCTACATACACAGTACATAAAGTGAGGTTATGTTCAGAAACAGTTGACAGCTGCAATATTTTATTGATTTATACATATAGTAAATACCAACATAAACTAATAACTGCTGTCATAGCTCAATAGCTAGAGCAATTAACCATCATCTAAAAGACCAGAGTTCCAGCCTCAGTCAAAGCACACACTTTTTATCCACCAAAATAGTTTAATAAACGTATGCAATACAATCTTAACAGAAAAGTCACATGATTAACTAACAACTTCCACATATGACTTACAGAGGGTAAAACTACCCCTAACAATTAAAAATACCCCATAACATTCCAACATATATGTATTCACTACCCCTGAGGATTAAACTACCACTCTAGGGGTGGTTTTGCCCCGATCTGGGCGGATCCTACTTATATTATTATTTCTATGCATATGGAGTATTATTGCCGATTAATAATTGTCTTGGTTACTTGTATTGTGTTTACAAGAAAATAACTGATAAGTGAAGCTGATGATTTGTTGAAGCTGCAAAATTTTATCTTACGCACTGTTCACTTTTACTGGTGTGTTAAGACTTTTTAAAAGATAAAGTATTTTCCTTTTATCCTGCCACACAGTTTAATGCCAAAATTTTTGAAATTTTCATTAAAATAATCAATATGTACGATTGAGATTTACCTTTTATAATTAAGATTGTGTACCTAACTGTTTGTTACATTAGGAATTTGTAAAGAATTATTAAATAGTAATTAGTAAATTAGTAAATAGTAAAGTAGGACATAGGAATTTAACGGTATAAGTGTTATTTGATAAATTTTTTGTGCTTTCAGGTTTTATATCTGAAATGCCAACGCGATGTTTCTAAAAACCACTGTAAAAAAGCAAACGGTTTGGAATCAACCAAATAACTAAATTAGAGTACGGTATTGAATTAAAACAACCAACTCGTAATCTGTAAATAGCACAGAAATTGTATAGCATTGATTTAGCTACCATACTATTTATTTATATTCTTACAAGTTTTTTCTCAACATACGATGAATCACAAATCACAATAAACACCGTCTCAAAATTAAAGATGTACATCAAGTTTAGTCCTTGTAACAATCTAATTGTTCTTCTGGATCTTTTCAATGTTTGAATGTTTGCCTCTAAACGGCAAACTCTGTTGTTGTCTCCAAACGGTTGATGTGTACAAACATTTGAATAAGTTATTCATGTTATTTTAACTGGAGATATTTAAGGTAATTGGGTGTCTATCAAAAGAGTTGCCGGTCAAACATTAAAAAAACTTTTATGACAATTTTTACATAAACAGTCGAGTACTACATTAACTGAATATATATATGTTTATAGCTTTACTTACTGTGATCCGTAAACAGCAGACTCCATTCCATCTGCCTGGACGACCCTGGTTGAATACTCTCTAATATGAGGCGTCCAACTCGAGTCCGTCCCTGGGGAAGTCGTCTATGGTGCATTGAGGTTCTGGTTCGGAGGTGTCCTCAAGAACTACGTGTCCAAACCCTTACAGATGTGTCACGAAAAGGGTGGGGTCCAAAATATGTTTTGTACTTTGTCCTCTGTGGCCAGCACTGGAAACTTCCCCTTTCTTCTTCTACGTCAGGATTTTTTTTTTGCCATGAGGTTATCAGTGGCAAACACAGACCCGTCCATGTTTGGCCTAAACAAGACAAAGGTTGCATCATTTATTTTTGATAGCTGGCCACACAACTCCAGAAACCTTCTGTGATTTTGGAGCAGTTTTTCTACAATTCTCTTTCTCAAATTGAAATATTCTGTTGTATTTCCTTGGATCTGATCGACCTTCGACAGAGGCGAGTCTAGTGACTTTGTCAGAAATGAAATGATTTTGTTCATTTCTCTCGCCCAACGTTGAATGGTTGAGTGTTTCCCATTGAACAGTCACTAGGGTGTCGTGAAGCTACATGGTGCCGTAAAGAGAGATGCAGAATGGTATCGCCTGGCTTTTCTTTTGATCTTGAGACAATCTCAAAACCCTGTGTTCCTTCTAAATACACACCATTGTCACGATTGTGACAGAAATTATATTTTATTTTCATAGATTATAAGGTAATAGAATTGAATGTGAGTACAAATCCTGGAAAACTAGAAAGTCTGGTGGCAAGTGTTCGAGACTAGGCTTAGGGTAGTGATGATTCATAATTTGGAGGAGAACCACGTTGTTTCAATCTCATTTTGCGTAGTTGTGGCCGACAGTCAACTTGTTCCCTCGATTTGGAGGTATGTAATGCAAATAATTAAGCAATTTATGTTTAAGTTTATTCCAGGAAAAATCAGTACAACTTCAATTTGTAAATATATAGCTAAGCATTTTTGGGTAAACCAATTAATAATTTTTACTTGAATTTTGATAGACATGAAGATTGAACACCACGTGTTTTTGGCTCAGGTTTCAACGAGTGTTAAAAAATTGTTTTAGCTTTGTATCTTAAAAGGGTTAAATTTAAAAAGCATTGTGTCAATCTAAATGAGTTTTATAACTATCAGTAACTGTTCAGAGAGAATATTTCGATTAAATTTGATTTTTTAAGGTAAAATTAGGTTGGTTTCAGAGTCATGTTCTAGTTGAACCGACAGGATTTTGATATTGTTTTAATTTTGGGTAGTTATTAAGGATTTGTCTTAACAGTTATTTATTTCGACATGGAAGAAGGATATGTTTAATAGAGGTTATTTGTTTTTATTAAAATGTCACAGTAAACTGATTTTGTAATTCGTTAAAGAATAAAGATGTATTAGACACATGTTTGAGACAGCTGATTTAAAATTACTTTGTGGTCAATTTTATTATTATGTAAATTCAGTAAGATTTGTGTTAAACGGTAATATGTTTAAATATTTTATATTTTGTACTTACAAATGATTTTATTTAGGGGGTTGTTTCAAATGTTTATCAATGAGAACAAAATGAGAATTATTAGTATTCTATGTTTAAAATTGATTGTGGAGAAACTAGACTTCAGAAACAATTTGTGGGAAATTAACTTTGCTGGATAGATGTGTGAAAGTATGTGTAACTAGACTAAAATAAATATATTAAAGAAGGGATCCATAGTACGAATTTGGAACATGTCCTAGGGTTCAAGTCCCAGAGTTAAACATCGTCGGAGAGTACACCATCGCCTATCTGTTGTCTGGAGGAGTCTGGACCAGTATCACCTTCTCGGAGGCCTAACAACCGTCTGTGCATAATCTGTTTGCAAACCATGGACGTCTTCTCACCAGTAGACTGTCTCCGGCTCAGATCATCTCAGTGGAGCTCCACCAAGGATTGAAGACAGCGTTCGTGAAGTGATGAGTACCCTTCACCATGTTACACATCAATACTTTCAAATTTTTGATTAGGTCCTATATTTGAGTGGTAAATTAGGAAGTATGGACTTTGGAGAGGACAAGAAGTTTTAGGGAAACGATTATATAAGGGTTTGATCGATCAAAGAAAGGGGAGGGCAAAATTAAAAAAGGGGGGGGGGGGTTAGTAATGGTTGTAAAGTTTATTTTGGTTAAGTGGAGAAATAGTTTTTTGTTAATTTTCTAAGGTGTTTATCATACTGAACAATTGTTAGTTTTAAGAGTTTATTTCATGATATTGGATTTTTACTGGAATAATACGACTTCTTATTTCAGCATGCCCTTCTTGCCTCCTTTCGCAGCACGCTATACTTGGTTTTAAATTTAAGACACTTAGGTGTGTCACCATCAACTAAAGAAACAAAAACAGTTGTACATTTAGGATTGAATAAAGTAACAAAACTCAACAGAACACAACTTAGTTTTTTTCACGCTCAAAACTGTACTCCATTTCTTTGGTTTAAGGGGATACGCCACTATCTCCAACTTTTTTTTTATTATTTTATTTTTGTCAACCTAGTTAGTATATTTTGTTTATACTAGACTTAGTTAGAAGATTTAGGTACAAAAATATTGAATTTATAACTTATTTACTAAATTTATATGCGTTTTTAGTTTTTTTCACCAAAATTTTTAAGAAGTCGTTATTGAGAATAACTTTTCAACTACTGATCGGAATGACATATTCTATTTATTTCCTGATTCAGGATGAAATAATGAGTATTTCTGTGTATAATCGTTATGGTAACTAAAAAAACAAAATTTTTAGGACACCTTTTATTCAAAATATAAAAAAGCTGAAAAAAATATTTAAAATTTTTGCGTAAACATAAATATTTTTAGTAAATGTAATGCTATAGGGCTTACTATACACACAATCCTTTATTACTATATAAAGAAGGTCTGGTGAAAATTTGAATACTATAAGTATAGTACTAACGGAGTTATTCAAACTTTTGTACAATAATAACCTAAAAAACACGGTATTGAGATAATCGCAGGTGATGTAACAGGTGGTTGACAGGAGAAAAATTCCCATAACTACACTAACTTATTATTTTATATTATATATAAAAATAGCAAAGTACTTATTTTGTTTTAAATAAATGTACCCTACTTTATAACTCCATAATACATAATTATGATACACAATTAAAAGTGTACATATCAGGAACAAAAAAAAAAATAGTTCAAAATTTTGTTAAATTGCTGGTTGCGGCGTTTTATATTTTATTTTTTTTATACTAGAAGGAGTTGTCAGATTGGCAAACAATTTTAGCTAAATGTTCACATTTAAATGACCTATCTAAAAATGCAACTTTTGGAAAATGTAAAAAAAATATAAAATATGGCCTACAGATAGTGGCGTATCCCCTTAATTCAAGCAAAATGTGAAGCAAAAAAATACTTCAACATTTTTTGAAATGAGAAAAAGTTATGATAAAGTGCAAGTTAAGTATTTTCACTTATTTTATTGATTATTAAAGTATTAATTTTGAAAATAAGGGTAAACATTTTGCCATCATCAGGAAACACAAACAAGAGCAAGCATGAAACAACGTCAAAAAAGGCATCAGATTTTAAAATAGGATACAAAGTATACTTGCAGTATCCCAAGTCAATGACTGACAAAAAGAAAAGTAGCAGCTACGTCAATGTAAAGTCCCCCTTTAATTATTGAGGTAATTTAAAATCAAGATTAGAAATTGTATTGTGAAGTAAATGGTGGGTAAACAAGTTATCTCACAGCTTCTAACACTGTACTTAAAAACAAAAATACCGAAAACAAAACACTAATTTTCACCCAAAAGCAGTACACATTACTAGGTAGCTATGAAGATATGGAAGATTCAGTACTGGTAGTTTGTTTCAAGGCCTTCACAAGTTCCTCAACAGCTTTGTCAATATCCGCACAAGTTGTCTCTCTGCCGACACTGAGCCTTATAGTTGAATAAGCCAAATTCTCAGGTACACCAGAAGCTAGTAGTACCGCTGTAAAGTACAAAAAAAAGCGGCATATCAAAAATTAATTGTATTCCATTAATCACTCCATTTAATTTTTATTTGTAAAAAACCGCTGTATACATTCTTGAAACGTAACATAACAATATTGAAAACTGAAAAAAGAGTAGAGAGCAAAAAGTATTTAGTAACTAGACCAGGACTATATATATTTCATAAGCCCGTTGATATAAAATATCTAAGCCCAATCAGCTTAAATAAATTCTGGTTAACCCTTTGATTGCTAGGCCAATAATTCATATTTTGTATTTTGTTTGCCTTTTGATTCCATTACCTGTTGTTCATTTGCAACTGTATTGTTTTCATTATTTTATTAATCAGGCTAATTTGGAATAATAAGATAAAACCAAATGTATAACAAAGAAAAGTTTTGGTATTTGCAGAAAACATTAAATAAAACTTTATTTTCGTTGTAAATTTCCAAGTTTTCTTATAATAAATTGTAATTTTCTGATAGCATTACAGTATTTGAAACCAAAATCTCAAAAAATCGAAAGACATCTAATTTACAATGTAATATTGAATTTAACCTTGATTTAGTTTGTAAGGTTATTATGATATAGCCTTTTTAGGAAAATATCCTGTTTGCAGTAAAGCCTCAGCCAAACCATTTATGATCACTGTTGTGGTTCAGTTGAAAAATATCATATAAATAGTCCGTGACTAACTAGTGCTGCTGCCGCTACCTAGTAACACATTGAAAAACTAGGTTGAAGCGCCATCGGGTGCGCCATCTGTTAGTAATTATTGACGTCAGCTTGAATACCAGTTTTTACTCTATATTCTCCAAGCACAGATAGCCGAGAAGGCTAGGGCGTGTGTCACTTGGCCAGTGGCATTCGTTTGCTCGGGTTCAATTCCTGTCCTGTGTGGCAAATAATTGGTGACCTGTGTGTTTGTAGCGATATACTACAACCACTGGGGCATAGTGAGGGGTTCATAATCCTTGGTTTAGACATACACCTCTAATCATCCGAATGGGTAAATCTTTTAGCTAAGTGGTTGTTAGTGTATCCTATGAATATTCAGGTCACCAATGGCCGTTTTGCTACTTTTTGTTAAAATAACCTTCCTCTCTATATCCCTTAGAGATTTTAGTAAACAACCATATATCTTTACATAGCACTCAAAGGGTTAATTGTATATTTTTAGCTATGACTTTCATAAAAAAAAATCGAAAAAAAAACAAAGTAATGTTTATTTGGGACTCACATGAGAGTTGCGTCTGGTCGTGACAAGCTGCAGTAGTGCTGGCGACCAGTGTGGGACACTGAGCTAACAGTTCACTACCACTGAGTGTACACTGGGACCAAGACATACTAGCAGTGTTGGGCAGACGAGGTGATTGGCAGCAGTTCACCACACAGCCTGTCTGCTCCTATATTTAAAGACATGTTAATATTTAACACAAATATGAGGGTAATCTGTAAGGTCACTATCAAACTCCCTCCACAGTCAAGCTAGATAGTACAAATCTGTGTCCAACGCTGTGTTCCTTTTCTTCATCCACTAGTCCACTACTATTTTAACTAGTTACCACGCCACGCCCATGGAAGGGTTAGTCTTGTTGGACGCGTTGCAGAAAGTCAACAGTCCCGGAAGGTCAAATAATTTATACCTGTGCCGCTAGGTCAAAAACTACAATGTTTGCAGTGTCTGTAGATCAAAAATCCCAGTAAGTCAAATAGTACAGTCCGAGCTAAAAACGTGGTCTATGTTAAAGCAATTGACTTATTGGGAATTTGACTTAATGCAACAGCAGTTTTAATATAACGAAATAAGATAAAATATAAGTTCAGTTTCGCTGAGTCAACAGTGCCGGAAGGTCAAAAGTATAATCTGTTAAAAACAACGATAGTCCTCTCGACGCATGACTTCAATAATTTCGTGTTTTGGTGTACTTAAAGTTGTGCTAAAATTTTGAAAATTGGCACAGAGCTTCTTGGTTAGTCCTACTCAATGACTATTTTATTGGAACTTTAAACTATTTACCGATCTAATTAATAAAAATTGATATGTATGGTGAAATAGTTTTAAATCGTGATTTCTAACATGAAAAACTTAGCATGCGAGATTTCTTTTTGTTTTTGGGTTAGAGAGGTTTCGTCTGTGGCAAAGTTGTAGCCAAAAGTGTGATGCGTAAAATATATTTTTTTTTGAATTTTTTACAATCAGTGGTTCAATAGATAACTTGGGTTGAAGAGGACGGCAAATTTAGCATTTCGCAACGCATGGAAAGAACTACATCGTACGATGCGACTGCTGAGTGGACTTTTAATTTACAGTTCTAAGAACAAGAAAAAGATGAATATACAGATCACCAGTACATTCATATTATTTATAAAACATCTTTCTGTATTACCAGCTTACATTTTTCACTTATAAGAATACATCATATACAGGGTGTTAAAAATAAGCGGGGAGATGCTTTACCTAGTAATTCCTTGGGTCAAGATAAACAGAAAATCAAGGATAACATTTTTTCCGAAATCGTTTTGTTAACCAGATATCCACCATTTTGTATTTTTTACATACAAATATTTATCTTTGCACTTTTCCAACCGATGTTTATGAAACTTGGTATGTATGTTAAGGTAGGAGAGACCCATGTTATAAAAAAAGATTCATCTCGATTCACCCTAAAATTTCAAAATTTAACACTTAACTACAATATAATATACTTTACTACACCACAATATTTACGTATCACCATAAATCTTTAACAAAATAAAACGTTAACATTTTTAAAATCCAAAGTAAATCAATATAATCTTTCTTTTTTGAAAAATATATTTAAAAAAAAGGCGATGGTAAAATAATGACAGGCGAGTTTCGATCTGGGTGTTTCAGGTTTGAATCTAGGAGGATTTAACATTAATTAGGTAACATTAATGTTTAATCCTCCTAGGTTTGAACTGATTGAGAGGAATACATGAAACCGAAGGGGGGAGGTAACAACAAGTGCACTAGTATTTACTAGTGTCCAATTACAATTTGATGGATTTAACCAAAACCTTTTCTATTTCACTTATTTTCAGCTGTTAAATTTCAAACGATACGTTTTAGCGACACCATTAACGTTATTATCATGATCATCGTTTGAGTTTGTGTTTGCGGCAATGTATTTTTATGAATAAAACCTTTAATTTGATACCAAACTTGACTTCTGCTGCTATTAATTGACTAGTATGCACTATTAATTAACAGCTGTGTCTAAGGATTATGTCGGCCTTAGTCACAAACAGGACAACAAGATCGCTCCACTCATCCCACACTCATCTCCATTCATACTTGGCTTAAAATGCATACATTTGTATGGTCGCCATTTCAAAGCAACATGGCTACATTATCAATGACAAACGTGGAAAACCTTATACGAGTGTGAGTAAGTCCGAAAACATAGTAAGTCCGAAAACAACTCTAAAAAACAATAAGCAATAAATTGCAAGAACCGTTGCTTATATCATTGGGTATACACGTATGTACTGACGTGTATACTCAATGATTATATCGAACGAATGTACATCGTAAGAATTTCCATTAGTTGTTCCATTTAGTTGTGTGTCCATTAGTATAATAGTTTAGTTGACTCTTTTAAAGTCAGCGGAAATTGTGACTGTTATTACCCTTGAAATAATGTTTGTGTAGTACTTTGCAATCCTACCAATGCTTATAGAATCATACGATTACAATTTTCTGGTTAGAATATGTCGCATAGAGTGGTGACTACTGTATCTTTTTGGTTTGCTTGTAAAACAGGATCAACAGAGATTTTCCATCGACTTAAACAATACGATACTCTCAAATTGTTCATTGCTATAACAAACTATCACACAGTTTGATGAATATTTGTGTGTAAACCACATACAGTACACCTGTATTCTATCTATTTTTCCTTTTATTTTTCCAAGACTTTATAGAAAATCACGCATTACGTGATCAGTGAAGAAAGGCTGTATCCCATGTGTTTTATAGGTAAAGAAGTAAAGAAGAACACTGCTTCAGGTCAGAGCATTCAGTTATCATCAGCAATTGTAATTCCCGAATCAGTGACTGAATCAATAGTCAATTATGTTAGGGTTTGTTGATTATTTATAATGCACTTTACATGCTCCATTTGATAGTTTATAATAATTTACTCGGAATCTATAAGACACCTTTGGCTTGTATTAAATATTGGGTTGGGCCGTTTAGTATTTTGAATACAATAGGGGTACTTGTCAAACAGTTAAATATTATTATTTCTATGAATTTAATGGGTAACTTTAAAGATTAGGTGGAATTTCTAACAATACTTCACCGTAATTAGCAGCAAACATACATAAGGAATTCCAGTTATTGCAACAGACGCTCTGACAGCCCGTCAACATAAGACCTGCAGACGAGTCAACGAATATGCTGAAAAAATAACGAGATAAGTGAGTGTAAAGTGACTATTTTCCGGTCGTCATACGCCACGAGACATTCCGTCAGTGAATGGGAGGCCCACACAAGGGTGAAGATCGATAACGCGCTGCATTTGGAATGGAATAATTTGCACAGGTCCTCGAAAAGTACTAAATTCTCGAGTCCCGAAAAAGTCAAGTGCCCAGAATGTCTTATACACATACGGAAATTTAAGTCCTCAAAATATTGCAATAGTGTATTTTCGTATAAATTCTTGAGACCCGAAAAAGTCAAGTCCCCAAAATGTCTTATACACTTACATATATATGAATTTGAACGGATGGTGTTTTTTGCCTCTAGGGACTCAAAACGAAAAATTACATCGGTCGCGGGTCCAGGTGTTGCCATGAGTACTACGGTAATAGCTTAATCCCTATATGCGAAATTCGCTAAAAACCTAATAATTCTATAGAATAACTAGCTGTACCCGCTGGCTTTGCCCCGTTTAACTAATTAATTTTCAAGATGAGCTCGTTCGCATGGCTCAATCACGTCCTGGTTGAAGTTCGTTCGCTACGCTCACTCACCTTTAGGTTGGAGCTCGTTCGCTGAGCTCACTTGCCTTGGGGTTAACTCGCCTCCAGGTTGAAGTTCGTTCGAAACGCTCACTCAGCTTTTGGTTGCAAATTAGCTGTTGTCATAAATTGTTTAATTGACACAGCTGTTAAGATTCATTAATTCCTTTTAAATATGAAAAATCATAAGGTTAACATGGGAAACTCCAGAGCCACTGGGGCGAAGCTCGAATGCCCTATCATAATAAAAATTACTCAGTTTTCCTATTTAATGCCCAAAGAATCGGTGTATCGAATATCAGCCTCGTAGGTAAATGGGAAGTGGGAGAATTAGTGATGATGAGTGAGTGAGAGTGAGTGTGTCAGTGGCACAGGTTCACTAGTATTTAATTAATCTGCCATCCTCGTACCGAAGAATTAAATGTATCAATGGTCAGCATTACACATAGTATAAATAAGCCAACCATAAGTATGTATTTGAATTTTCTTCCAAATGCTGAATTTGTGTCACAAATGCTGAATGTTACAGCTGTTATGTTAAGCAAATTATATTGTACTAAAAGCTAGCTAGAAGCATTGACTTATTGGAGAAGGTTAGCATCGGCTGCTAGACTTTTTAAAAACTAAAACTTAATTTATAAAAAAAGCTATAACTTATTTTAAATTATAGCTTTGATATTCCCTAGTTCTCAAAATTGTCTTTCTTTCAACACAAAACTAATGAAAATCCATCTTCTGGTTGATTCAGAATCGTGGGGAAAAACCCCCATTTACGTTTTAATAATATATATGATAGTTTGGACAGGTTTCAACCCTTCCGAGGCGTAATAAATTTACACAGTTTATATGTAGACTACATTATAACTCATAAAATAGTTCTACAATTAAATGGATCTCCTTTTACAAACGTATATAATAACCAGAAATTTTCAGATCGTCCTTGCGGGTATTTTATGCCACAAATTTTGATGAAAGGCTATACCTATTTACAGTGTTGACCAAACAGTTGGCAAGAAGCATTAATAGATAAGCTATGTACCAAATATGATAATTTTAGCTCTATTCTAATTATGACAAAACACGAAGTAACTAAAAGCGAGTTTTGTTGGTGTAGTATGCGTTGCAGGAGGTCTACTTTACACTGAATCGACGTTCACTTTTATTGCTTTTGATCTTCCGGCACTGTTGACTCAGCGAAACTGAACTTGTATTTTACCGTATTTCGTTATATTAAAACTGCTGTTGCATTAGGTCAAATTCCCAATAAGTCAATTGCTTTAACATAGACCACGGTTTTAGCTCGGACTGTATTATTTGACTTACTGGGACTTTTGATCTACAGACACTGCAAACATTGTAGTTTTTGACCTAGCGGCACAGGTATAAATTATTTGATCTACCGGGACTGTTGACTTCCAGCAACATTCCCGTCTTGTTATAGTATTGGAAAACAAGAAGACAATTGACGCTCCCACCAAGTATGAATCACTTTCTTCTGGGGTTTGATAGCTGTAGGAAGTAGGTTGATGCCAGTTGACAGTATGTTTTGGTTTTGAGTGATAAAAATGGCAAAGCCCCACTTTCACCCCACAAAACCCTGTTCCTATGGTCCGATTCTGCTGGTTTGCCAACTTATTTGAATAAATGTGTAGATTTATATGTTTGTACTATTTCATAATTTTTTTTCTGTGTTTGTATATTTTATCTACACTGGATCAGTTTTACTCGAGTTATTACAGTCACACGCACATATATATGTGACTTTGATCAGTTGATATTTTTACCTCTGGGGACATCAAAACAAAACAAAAACAAAAGGTTGTCCCGGAATAGATTTTTTCACAAGACCTATGGTAATAGCCTATCACCTACATGGGAAATTTCCAAAAATTAAATTTAATATTACTGATCAAAGCTTAAATATTGTAACTCATTTTTCCTGTCCATGACCTTAACACTGTGTTATTTCTTTCCAAAATTATTTCCATATTGTCATTATCAAAGCCATCATGGTCCCAGTCCCACAGGTGAAGGTAATTGGTTTTACTGTACGAGTGTGTTTAATCCTGTGAGGGGAGTGAATAGCTACTGAGCTATAAGTTACAAAACAACAAAGTAAAATGACTTACCTGAAGTTGTTTTACAAGGTAATCTCTGGTGTTTCTCATAGTGTCAGTGTATGTCTGAAGGTTATCCACCACCAGGGTAGCAGCCTGGCCCAGCCCAGCTATCATAGGGGTATTCTCAGTACCAGGTCTCAGCCCAGCCTCTTGTCCTCCTCCCCATACCACAGGGGTGACAGGGGCACCCAGATTGCGGTGGACGTAAAGAGCACCAATACGTGGACCATAGAACTGTCAACCATTGTGTTAAACGTTAAACCCGAATCTCAAATCTCAAAATAACTTAATTTTGCAAAAGTTTGGGTTTTTATGATTCGATTCATGAGTTTTGAGGTCTGCGGTTCAATTCATTCAGTGTTTTTGTGAGTAAAAATTACATTAGTACAGTATGTTATTCAAATTTTCATTATCAGATTCAGGAGTTTAATTTATTTCAATATTATGTTGTATATAAACAATTGTGTTTTTATAGATTTAAAATGTATAAGTAATTCATGTCATAGGACTTTTTCTTTCAGTTTGTATTGCATTTAATGAACCTTTAATTTTACCTATTTTTTGACATTAACCAAGGCCACACTAAAAAAAACAGGCCGTAATGCTCGTCAAGCATGACGTCAAGATAGAAGACTGCAATGACGTAGGTATTTATTTATTTATTTATTTTCCAAGGAAAGATTAAAGCAAGCAGCTGATCACAAACGGCAAACATTACGTCATTGCCGTCTTCTATCGTGATGTCATAATTGACGAGCATTACGGCCTGTTTTTTTAGTGTGGCCTTGCATTAACCAGGTGAATAACAATGTTGATATTTGAAATTTATTTTGTTTAAATTTGTTTTCATTGATAAAGACATGTTTTGGTTTTCATAAAAACAATTTTAATTCAGAGAAAATTTGCAGCAAAATTTTAGTTAAGACATAAGATTTTATTGGTCTTTTATTTTAACATTTGTACGTATATTGACAACAGTTCAAATTTAGAGTTTACATTAAGTACTGAATGAATACTGTGAAGTACTGTGTCCTTGTTGAATATTTCAGTCTTTCATAGTTAACACGTTGACTGCTCAAACAGTCTGAAATACATTGGATCACTGAAAGCTTAGCCATTAATGAGAATAGTTGTTATTGTGAGCGCCACCTGATGTTTACACCTTTATCTTTTAGCGAATTTCCCCTATAGGGAATAAGCTATTACCGTAGTACTCATGGTAAGACCTGGACCCGGGACCGATTTACTTTTTCGTTTTGAGGTCCCTAGAGAACAAAAACACCATCTGTTGAAATTCATATATATATATATATTTATATATGTGTCCGTTAGCGCGATAACGCGAGCAAAAATCATCCGATTTTGATTCAATTTGGTACATACGTGTAAACCTACGTTTATTCGAACGAGTTCGCGAACCAGCATGATCAGACTATGGGAACAGGGGTTTATGGGGTAAAAATTGGTTTTTCCCATTTTTGACCCTAAAAACTTAAAACTGTAGAGCTTAAAAAAACAAATAATTTAGTATATTGAAGCGTTATTATGCGCCTAATGGTTAGGGAGAAAATTCCAAAAATATGTAAATTTAAAATTCACATGTCATTCTTATGGAGAATAAGTAAACTGTTGTAGTTTGCTTGTTTATGAATATATTTTGATCAAATTTGGAAAATGCATTAATTTCATACTAAACAATTACATTTTACAAAAAAATACCTTTTTACCCTCCCTGTTGCAGCAAACCTAAGTACTCGTTAAACTAATGTTTTTTAAATAGGGAATAAATGTGATATTTTTAAGGAGACATTTTAGTGTAAATCCAGTCAGGCAAATGGAAATTCGCTTAGTCTGCAGGTTTGCTGCGGCGGGGGTATTTCACTTTTGCACCAGCTTATGAGTTTGAATAGGGTTAGTTTAAAAGATAAACAAAAAAGCGCTGGTCCATAGGTGATCACATGCCGTTATTATTCAGCATTCAAAGTGTTAAGCAAATTTGATTTAAATAAATATATAACAAACTAAATAGTAAATAACCAAGGGGGTAACGTTCAATGTTACTAGAAATAAATAAATATGCCTGAATAGATAAAGAAACTGACTGTTCAGTAAACTTCAATATTCTATTTTAAATGCTCTTTGCTCTTTGTTTTACTTACAACTCTTTTCAACTCATTACAACATGTGCTGTAATACTATTTATTTATTTGATTGTTATATCATATGTTGTATCATTGGCTATTGTATACTGAAGTAGATGTCCCATCTTTTTGGACCAGCTGTAGCAATTTTTTTGTTAAAAAAGAACTTAAAGTCGGGACCACGTAAGTTTGCAGTTGGTAGTAGCCAATCACAAGACAAGTCTAGTGCGACGTTGCCACATCGCCCATTGACAACACTTATTAAATATACAAAGCAATATTTTCAAATCAGCTGGGATTATTAGATTTGGCAACACCGCACGGTTCTTATTGGTTCATTCAAAACCATATGGTAAATAGGCTCCTCCCTCAACTGCAAACTTATGTGGTCCCGACAATAGTTGTTTGAGCTAGTCAAAGAATGTGCTAGTGACTAAAACTCTACAGTATTTTCTACCTTATTTTTTGTTGCTGGCCAAGTTGACGGGTCATAACAGTTGCTACAGCTCACAATAAGTAATTCCATTAGTTTGAATTGGTAAAACTGATTGTGTATTCAACAGAAATCAGTAATTTAGATCAGCACAATCTGTCGGTGGCTCTCATCAACTACAACTATTTTGGAAAAAAAGCTGGCTACAAATTTAATATGGGGATGGAATGTCTTGTATTTCAAATGTAAATAAATCAGAGTGTCTTGTTCTCTTACTACCATTAAATGTGTGTTCATTTTCCTCTCTCTCATATTCTTTAATCTGAATATTTCTCTTTCTCAACATTTACCCCTCTGGTCCTTTAAACTATTTATCATTACCTTTTCTCATTTTTATTCTCTTTTCCCACCACTCTCTAAATAATATTTTATTCCCATAGTAATATCATTCTCTACAAACAAATCACTGACTGTTTCAAAATGAGATTTCAAGTTGGTTAAAAGACTGAGCGCCCAACTCATATTAGTGTGGCAGAAAAGTCTAAAATGTTTGAACCAGTTTGGGCAGATTAGTTGATGCTCAACATATGCAAACCAGTTGAGAGTAAATGGCAAGGTTACAGGGTTTGTAAAAAACTCGGTTCTTCTGATTGGGTGTTAGGGGAAAGTTAAGCCTTTAAGGAATGATGGGATGCATTTCTAAGAGGGATCCAAAGAATAAATAAACTAAACCCTAACTTCAATTTTTCTACACGTAGTGAAAACAAAATTAAGTTAAATTGCTAATCACAGCTGGAGTACCTTATGGCCTACTATGGTCAGGTAATCCACTTGCAGATAACGCACATCAACTGGTAGTTTGCCCACTGCTTGTGCTGCGTCTACATGGAGCCACACTTTGTGTTTGCAGCTGTCATTTACTCTCTTCAACAGCCTGCCAACAGAGCAATACAGTATAAAGCAGATTTTATAAAATGAACCAGAATTTGGGAATCAGGTTTTTCATGTCTTTTTAGGAGGAGATCTAGTCTTACTTAAAGGTAAATGATAAGTTCTTAGAACACAAGTTTACCAGTAACAAAGAGTATATCGCAACAAGGTCTAAATAAAATTACAAATTAAAAACAAAATACCTGGGAACCCAGTTTTGCTCGGGGAAATTCATTAGTATACTCTGAGAGCAATCTATGGTCAATGCCATTTATTAGAGGTGTGCGAGCGGCTCGATTTTTTGAGCCTGGCCTATAAGCTTGAGAGATCGAGCACAAAGTCCAAAAATAGAGCTTGGGCCTATCAGGCTCGTAAAATGCGTCTGCAAAGTTCGCGCATTTGTAAAACTCACGCTTTTGTCACAATTGCAGAAGACTATAATGGCATTTCCATGACTGAGCGAGATGACCATAATGTCTACAAACCGCCGGAGATACTCAGGATTTTGCTGAGATTGCGGATGATTATGGTAACGTTTAGGTTACCGCAGGAGACAACAATGTTAATGTCAAATATATACACATAGATAAATATTATTTTAATCCTATACCGTTACTCTAATATGAGCAATGCTTGCTTGTATATTTGCTTCCACAAAGATCTCAAAAACGGCTTAGACTATTTTCTTGAAATGTTGTAGTTTATTTCTGGCCTAAAAACGTGTTTACTGCAGTTAGAACGACCAACAAAAATCTAATTAAATAGAAAAATGAAACTGAAAGTCAAAAATTTTTAACATTGGCCTTATGGGTTGCTAATTAATTAACCATTTTGGTTGAACAAAATAACAAGGACAAGGTAAACAAAAGACATGTAACATGTGTAGTATAATAAGCCATCCAAAGTATAATAGTAAATTACAAAATACAGTACAAAGGGAAAAACATCAGTTGTAACTATTGAGCAAAGATTACACTGAAGATTACTCGATACATTAGTGAAAGGCTAGCAGTGCGGAGTGTGGGAAGCGTCTGTGACAGTTGGATTAATGTATCTAAAATACTAAAATGCTATGGGAAGGGAGAGGAACAGGTCTAAAATTTAGGAAGTGATAAAGGAAGTAGTAAAGGCTAGCATTGCAGAGTGTGGAAACCGTCTGTGGCGTTAAAGATTAATGTATCTGCAATTCTAAAATGCTATGGGAAGGGAGGGAAACAGGTCCACCACGTAGGAAGTAGTGAAAGTAGTAGTAGCTATTTGTGTACTTTTTATTGGTGTGGCAACACAATCATTACCATGCAATGGTAGGGAAAATAACAACATTTTATCCTACAAAATGAAATCAGTTTACCGAGTATTGGTTCGAAACAAATAATAAATCAATTTGATCAATATACATTACTAGCTGTACCCGCGGGCTTTGCCCCGTTTAACTTCATAAGTGAGCTCGTTCGCATGGCTCAATCACGTCCTGGTTGAAGTTCATTCGCTACGCTCACTCACTTTTAGGTTAGAGCTCGTTTGCTGCGCTCACTTGCCTTCAGGTTAGCTCGTTTGCTACGCTATCTCGCCTCCAGGTTGAAGTTCGTTCGCTACGCTCACTCACCTTTTGGTTGCAAATTAGCTGTTGTCATAAATGTAAAAGAAATAATAGTGCTGCACCCTGTTGGTAATCCTTGTAACTTTAATGCTATTGAACATCATAGAGAACAGAACCAACTTGTTTAATTGAAACAGCTGTTAAGATTCATTAATTCCATTTAAATATGAGTACTCATAAGGTTAACATGGGAAACTCCAGAGCCACTGGGGCGGAGCCCAGAGGTCGGAGGGTAAAATCCTTTCTTAGTGAGTGTCTACTACCCATAAGTAAGATGCCTGCCAAGTTTCAGGTTCCTAGGTCTTATGGTTTCTGAGATTTCGTGATGAGTGAGTGAGTCAGTGGTATTTGAGCTTTATATATAGATTACTTTATTGAAAATGAATTAACATTGCACATAGGCCTAGGTTGTAAACTTAAAAGAATTTTTTTTACTATAGGTAAGATTTACTTACTTTTGCCTGAAGGTGTCAAATGTTAACATATGCTGTACATGTTTCGAGCTACTTACAGTTCATCTTCAGCAGCATTCTTGAATAAAAAAAATCACATCAAACGACGTTTGTCGACTATTTACAGTTTATATATACACACACGAACACACGGAAATATATACAAAGAACACACACACGTTTGGCAGTGTAGGTACCGTAAACATGTTTGCGTACGCACGGTTAAACAAAGATAACCACGACCGGGCGACATTTGTAGCAGGCCTACTGAGGAACTTGAACACGGGAGAGTGACGTCACGGTATTTTATCATGGTGTGTATATATAAACTGTAAATAGTCGACAAACATCGTTTGATGTGATTTTTTTAAATTCAAGAATGCTGCTGAAGATGAGCTGTAAGTAGCTCAAAACATGTACAGCATATGTTAACATTTGACACCTTCAGGCAAAAGTAAGTAAATCTTACCTATAGTAAAAAATATTAAAGGTATCAAGGCTGATATAAAATTAGTTAAAAGAATTGTTCTGAATGCTTTCCACTAACTTCAAGAAGAAAAAAGTGCATTTTATTCTTAAAACTAAACTACTAAACTTTACTCAACTAAATTTATATACACGCTTACACACTAACACTTTTAACTGGACAAGAAACACCTCAGTCCTCAATATAATTTTGCGTCAACATATACAAAGTTTCACCACTTAGGGAATTATTTCCACCTAAGGCCCTGTACACAAGAGGGCGGCAGCCGCCGCGGTTGCTATTGCGCGGGAACCGCGGCGGTTAAAAGTACAAAGGAGAAAATGGGACTGTTCACATGCAACCGCCCACTTCCAATCAACCGCAACGAACCGCGGCGGTCGTAGATTTCCCTTCGACCGCCGCGGCTCCCGTGCGGTTGAAGTTACTAGAGTTGGCATGAGAGCGTACACATGAGTGCGGTAGCCGCCGCGGTTGACTACAGTTGCTACTATAGGATCACAGACATCTGCGTGCTTGCCCTGTGGACATCGCTCTCTCTCTCTGTGTTGGTGAAGTGTGTAGCTTTGGCTGGAGTTAATGTAGTGCTCGTAGTGTAAGTTTACAATGGCCATGCGTGCTGCTGTGGAACCAGAAAACTTTGAAACTGAACTGTCCATTAAAGAAGTACAAAAAGAAGATACGTTTAGGGCATAAACTAAAAAAGAATGCGTGGCAAGAGTTTGTTGCGTTTTTTGCTGAAAAGAATTGTAAAGCGTTACGCGTTTAAAAGAAAAATAATTGGGTAAATACAGTACTGGCTGTCGAGCGACGGTCAATTCACACCGCAACCGCAGCGTAACCGCGGATCCAACCGCTGCCATGTGTACGGTCCTAGGCGGTCACCGCTGCGGCCACCGCGGCGGCTGCCGCCCTCATGTGTACAGGGCCTAAAACCCTAATATGACTGGAATAATAGGATTTAAATAAAAGCTCTTCTAAACAGACCAACAGTCTATGATATCAAATTTAGAATTTTGGAGTATTTTATTTATTAAAAGGTCATTAGTAATAGTAATATCCTAATCATTCTCTTGGCATAAAGCCTACATACAACACAAATTCTTTCCACATAATTAAATCATAAGTGTTTTGAGAGTATTCAAATTTGACTTATTGAGCAAATACACTGTTTCACATGGTATTACCTTGCTATTTCTCTAATGGGAAACACAACTCCAGTCTCGTTATTGGCCATCATGACAGAGACCAGAACAGTGTCTGGTTTGACAGCAGCCACTACATCTGCAGCTTCCAGACAGCCATCACTGTTGACAGCAACCTCTGTGTAGCCTACAAAGCAAACATTTCTCAACCAACTTCCAGACACGCTTCAATTGGTTATAAGTATCACACACAGTTATGTGTACTCTGTTGTAAATAGTTCCTGTTCAAAGATCTGTGGATTCCCATTGTTGTCAGCCAGTATGTCCTGAATAGCCTTGTCTTTCTGAAGAGAATCTGAGCAGTTTTTACAGCTTGGACATTCTTTGCCATTTCAGTCTACATTAGAAGCTACCAGCTATCAAGATTTAACACCCTACAGTCTTTAGAAGCTTGCAGACAAATGTCTCATATGCAAGGTTGAGGGGGGAAATAGCATTCCCACACAGCCAATGCCATTGTTTCAAGTTTAAATGTATGTTTTTTTTTTTTAGAAAATCATGATATATGTATCAAACAAATCATTAAGGGCCTAATTGAGTATCCTAGTTAAATTCAGAGCAACAACCTAAACCTATTACTTTTACTTTGTATAGCTAATTACTACTCAACATGTTTTCCATTTACGTCTGGAACTAAAGTAGATCACTCACTTATAACCCCTTTGTCAGCTAGTCTCCTGACAGGCTCCACAGTGGCCACATGCTCTACATTGGACATGACAACATGAGGGGTTGTGATGAATTGTCTTCCCCACTCTACAGTACTGTGAATCGCCATGTTGTTACTCTACCAACAAACAACTGATGTCAATTTAAGAGGATCAGCAGATTTTAAATATTTAGACATATTTGAGATTTCTACACTCATTCGCTTATACTAAAATTAAAATAATCACCATGTTCCAATGTAATGATGATGAATATAATTGCATTATGGTTTTTGTTTTACCGTACCGAGTTACTTACTACTGCAGCCTAAGACTAGGTAAGACCTAGGTTCAGAACCACTTTTTGCTTAAGGGTCTCAAGAAGCCAAAATGGCTGTTTATTCTAACAGTTTAAAAAAAGTTTTAGTAGGCACGGCACTGTAGCACATGTCATGTAAAAATTATCCAATTTGTATGCCATTTGAATTTAAATGCGAAAACCAACATACATTTGAATAATGTTGCCTACCAACAAGTGCTTGATCAAGATGAAAAACGATTAGTATCTAACACTATCATTTCACGCCTAAAGGTTACCACTGTATGAACACAGTTAATAGAGGTTCCACTGTATTCATATATCACACATTATCCTATTTGGTCCTCATACACATACCAAATAGCTATCCACCAAATAAATGTGTTTCTTATCATCAATATCAGTTTTAAAAACTTTAATTCAAGTTTACCTCGGTTCCCCCGGAGGTAAATACAATGTCAGCTGCATCAGCTGCATTGACAAGACGAGCGACAGCGGCTCTAGCACGATGAATGGTCTCTCTGGCACGATGTCCGGCAGCGGAGGCCGAGCTAGGATTGGCCCAGTCTCGCTGGAGGCTCTCCGTTATAGCTGACACTACCTCAGAGGCAACGGGAGTCGTGGAGTTGTAGTCCAGATATATTATACTTTCATCTTTCATTGCTGAGCTGAAACAATTCAAAATTCATAGACAACCAATTTGTAATTTTATTGAATCGTGGAAACTGCATTAATGCAGTTATACATCCCATTTATATCGACAAGCTGAAGCTGAAGCAAACTATTTAAGTTGTGTCTCAATAATTCTATAGTTTGTAATGCGACGTACTTAGTACTCGGTAGTCAGACACGCGATCAGATACAACAGACATAGTATCTGCTTAAACAACAAAATGTTTTCTGTATTATCTGCAATTTATTGTTTGATACAATTGAGTAGAATAAGGCAGAAGCTAGTCAGGTTTGTCCCATTTTACAACTAAAAATCGTAATATTTTAGCTATTTCTTATTTGATCTTTTTTGAACTTTTGATCGTTTGAAAGGGAATTAAAAATGCTAAATAAAAGTGTTTGTGACATTTTTTTTATAAAATTAGCCGTTTTTGAGAAATTTAAGTTTTAACAAAATTAAAATAACCGCCATTTTGAAATTTTAAGTTGAATTAAGATGAATTTTTTTCTAACATTGGTCTTTTCCACCTTAACCTACATACCAAGCTTTATAAAAATCAGTTGAAAAAAAATTAAATATAAAAATGTTTATGTCAAATACAAAATGGTGGATAATCTGGTTAACGAAGTGATTTTGGAAAAAATGTTATTCTTGATTTTCTCTTTATTTTGACCCATAGAACTATTTCCTGGAGGTTGGCTGTTTACTTACGGAACATTCTGTATAGTCTGTTAGCACGATAACTCCAGCAAAAATGATCCGATTTAGAGGAAATTTGGTAAAGACGTATTACATTTATTTGAACAAGTTCCTGAACCATCATGACCGGACTATGGAAACGGGGGTTTGTTGGGGTTTTATGGGGTAAAAATAGGTTTTTCCCATTTTTGACCCTAAAAACACATAATTTTACAATTTCTTTTCAAACCATTTTGTAGAGCGTAAAAAACAAATAATTTTGTATATTGAAGCGTTATTATGTGCCTAATAGTTACGGAGAAAATTCCAAAAAGGTTTAATTTAAAATTCCCATGTTATTCTTATGGAGAATAAGTAAACTGTTGTAGTTTGCTTATTTATGAATATATTTTGATCAAATTTGGAAGATGCATTTCATACTAAGCTATTAACATTTTACAATAAAAAAAAAAAAATACTTATTGGGTTTTACCCTTTCTGTTGCAGCAAACCTAAGAACTCGTTAAACTAATAATTAGTCTATTTAAATAGAAAATAAATGTGACATCATTAAGGAGACTTTTTAGTGTAAATCCAATCTGGCAAATTGAAATTAGCTTAGTCCGCAGGTTTGCTGCGGTGGGGGTATTTGGTCTTGCTCTTGTGTGGATGGCATTGAAACATAACAATAGTCAAAACAAGACTTGATGGGGGATTACTAACTATTTGTATCCTGATAGTTTCAATGTAACTAGGTAATGTCCCAATTTCGCATTATATCACGATGATAACAGGATGTTTGCAATTTTGTTGATAAATAGCTTCAATATAAGGGGGATATTTATATGAAGGGTAGCGATGGAAAATTTATTTGAAATGAGAATCTGCATTCCATCATATTCAGCCAGGTACCGTATGTATATTTTACCCATAAACTTAATTATTCTATATTCTTCTAATATTATAAATGAGAAAGTTTGGTCCTACTAATATTATAAATGAGAAAGTTTGGATGTATGGATGTATGTATGTTTGTGACAAGTAAACGCGAAAAATACTGGTTGGATTGGGCTGAAATTTGGCATGATGATAGCTCACATTCCCGATTAACATATAGGCATATTCTTATCTCAAAAATCCTTTCGGGCTCCGCCCCAGTGGCTCTGCAGTTCCCCATGTTAACCTTATGAGTTTTCATATTTAAAGGGAATTTATCCAGCTGTTTCAACTAAAAGAGTTGGTTCTAAGATATGCAAAAACATTAAAAATTTACAACATTTACCAACAGGAATCAGCACTATTATTTTGTTCATTATTTATGAAAACAGCTAAATTGAACGAAGCAGCAACAAAAAACTTTGATATGCAATGAGAACTGTCAAAGTAGGATTGTATACAGTTATGTTTATGTTTTTAGTTTTAAGAATAATTTGTGATATTTTGTGAATTTTTAATAATCCATCTTTCTCTATTGTGTAGGTGAAGTGGTAGAACATTATGTCTATGGTAGATGTGTAATATTATAGCATACCGTAAATTTGGGGAAGCAAAATTTCTCAAACCGTGTCTTCTCTCATTGCAAACGGAAAGATCGAGTATAACTGCAATAAGCATTTTATACTTAGTTGCCAACCCTGTACGAAGGACGGGTACTCGGCTAGTAAGGTATAAATGAACCAATGGGGTGTTTACATAAATGAACCAAAGATAAATTTACAGGATGGCAGTTCTATTTGTGTTCCTGCAACTTCTGATTTCCTCCATAGCAGCATCCATGGGTGATTACACACCTTGTGCTAAAATAGAGGCAATGCAGCAAGTAGCTTCCACGGTAACTCTGTTACTCTTATCAAATAATAATATACTTAGTCCTAGCAATATACTAATATAACTTAAGCAGTGTTTGGTAAAAATCTATAAAGTATATTCCAGAGTGGGAGGTTTAATTAAGCACTACAAGTTAAAACTTAATTGTTTTTACTTTTTATTGATATCAATGAGTGATTCACTTCATATTCAATATAAAATGTTACCTATCTTACATTTAAGGATACTTTTTTACTTATGTTAAAAGAGGGGAGAACCCATAAAAAAGTGTTTTTCGCATAATATGAATGTGTGCAGGACTGATATGTACTTGCCTCATTCTAGTATCATAGTAACTCTTAGGAATTTTAAATATTCATATTCAAATATCTTTATTCATCATAACTCATGTGGTACAGTGAATAGTGTCTAAATACATAAAATAAAATAACTATTTGTATTTCTGGAAGGTGGAAAACTCATCAAAGGTATATAATGCTAAATTTATTATATGCTCTTTTAGCGAATTTCCCTATAGGGAAGTAGCTATTACCGTGGGTCTCATGGTAAGACCTAAGCCCGGGAACGATTTACTTTTTCATTTTGATGTCCCCAGAGGCCAAAAACACCATTCGTTCAAATTTATATATATATATATATATGTGTGTGTGTCCATCCGCACGATAACTTGAGTAATTTTTGTCCGATTTTGATAAAACTTGGTTTGAAGGTGTAAGGCGGGATAAACTTGAATGAGTTCGCGAACCAGCATGATCGGACAATGGGAACGGGGGTTTATGGGGGGTTTTATGGGGTAAAAATAGGTTTTTCCCATTTTTGGCCCTAAAAACACAAAATTTCACAATTTCTTTTCAAACCATTTTGTAGAGCTTGAAAAAACAAATAATTTAGTATGTTGAAGCGTTATTATGAGCCTAATTGTTACGGAGAAAATTAAAAAAATTTTAATTTTAAAATTCCCATGTTATTCTTATGGAGAATAAGTCAACTGTTGTAGTTTGCTTGTTTATGAACATATTTTGGTCAAATTTGGAAAATACATTAATGTTGTATTAAGTCTGTTCTTTTATCATGTGTTTAAATATGTTTGTTGTCAGATGTTTTTGTAAACATTAGTTTAGTTTGAAAATAGAGTTTGTTTAAGCAAGATGTGTGAATAATATTCTTGTATAAGAAATAGAACATGGTGGCAGCTTAGTGGATTTTTTATCGAACAAAGTCTAAAACCACGCATGATGTCAAGTAAGGGCAGAAAAAAACGAAATACTCGTAGGCAAAGGTATGAGGACAATGAGGAGGATGCCCAAAGTGAATTCAACTACATGTCAGAAAGGGATTCTAGAAAGACTAAAGGTGAGTCACTAGGTTTTGCATTGGGACAGACAAACCGAGAAAATAATGCAGTAATGTGTACTCCTACTCCTATGATAAATCTGACGTTACCAACTCCAGATACCTTCTCTTTTACTCCGAATGAGTGGCATTCCTGGAGGAATCGCTTTCAAAGGTACAGACGGGGGTGCGGTCTAGATAGCACTTCCGACGCTCGGCAAATCGATGTACTTTTGTTTACAATGGGTAGTAGGAGTGAAGATATTTTCGATTCGTTTTCACCAAAACCGAATACTTATGACGAGGCTCTTCGGGCCTTTGATGCATACTTTGTGCCAAGACGAAATATCATTTATGAGAGAGTGTCTGTTGACTTGTTCAAACACGAAGACAAGTGGTATATGGTTATCGTGGATCACTACTCAAGATACTTTGAAGTCGAGGAAATGCATCGAATGAGGGCTTTAGATGTGATTCGGGTTTGCAAAACCACATTTTCACGTTTTAGAATTCCTCAACGTGTTTATTCAGATAGTGGGACACAATTTCACCATATTGACTCAAGTGAATTTAAATTGTTTGCAAAGGAGTGGGGGTTCTCCACATTCAGAAGTAGTCCCCACCACCATCAGGGAAATGGGGCAGCTGAAGCAGCTGTGAAAGTAGCAAAAGGGCTAATGAAGAAAAACAAGGATAAATTTGAACTTGCCCTACTTTCTTACCGGACCTCACCTCTTGAAACCGGCTTTTCTCCATCTGAACTTATGTTTGGAAGGAAATTAAGAGACAATCTTCCATCTACTTTGGTTGGAAATCCTGTGGAAAATAAGAATTTTCTTGAGAGGGAGAATAAGTACCAGAATAAGTACAAGATACAATTTGATAAACGACATGGAGCGAGTGGTTTAAGTGAATTAGAAGTTGGAAGCATGGTATGGATCACAGATCTACGTCGACACGGTAAGGTAGTCAGGAAATTGAACGAACCACGTTCCTACCTTGTGGAAACTGACAAGAGAACTATTCGCCGAAACAGGAAGTTCTTAGTTCCTGCACCGTACTACGGAGGAGATGGAATTCTTTCAAACTGTTCATCCATGGTCCTTAATCGTCCATGCAACTCACGTGATCGTCCAGGAGCTGGCACAGTAACCCGTTACGGAAGGTCCATTAAGAAACCGAGGCGGTACTGAGGTTCATAAAGATGTGGACATCTTGAAGCGGGATGTTGTATTAAGTCTGTTCTTTTATCATGTGTTTAAATATGTTTGTTGTCAGATGTTTTTGTAAACATTAGTTTAGTTTGAAAATAGAGTTTGTTTAAGCAAGATGTGTGAATAATATTCTTGTATAAGAAATAGAACAATTAATTTCTTACTAAACAACAGTAACTTTTAATATTTTACATTAAAAAAACTTTTTTACACTCCCTGTTGCAGCAAACCTAAGTACTCATTAAACTAATTCTGTTTAAATAGGGAATAAATGTGATAATTTTAAGGAGACATTTTAGTTTAAATCCAATCAGGCAGATGGAAATTCGCTAAGTCTGCAGGTTTGCTGCGGCGGGGGTATTTTGAATTTTGATAGGTCCTTTTCCTTTTTTATGAATTTAGGGACAAATTGTAGAAAAGATTTAGGTACCAACGTAAGAGGGTTTTTTTTCAAAAAGATTTAATTTGAGGCTGGACAAACTCCCTTCTTTTCCTGAAATTTTTAGAATTTAATAAATTTATTACTTTCTCTGATTTATTTTTTTTATAAGAATTGTTTTATAAATATATTGCCCACAAACTTTAAAAATTTGTAATTTCTTAAACATTCTTTTGCTGAATCATCTCGTTTAAGCTTAAGCATAATTCTGATAGTCTCTATTCGCTGCTTCAGAATGCTCTCCTTATTTCATTTTTTTGATACGCAGAGGATACGCGTCCGGTAACCTGACGTGGATTAGGCGTCCGGCAGTTACTGTCATAACCTAACCTAACCAACCAAACTTGCTGATAGTGAAAAAAAATTAAATGAAGGTTCAATTCTCTTCATAACATAAAATTATAAATGCCAACAATTCTAACAAAAGATGTACAGTTAAAAAGAAATTACATTCAAAGCAAAATATGTGACAAAAAGTTATAGTTACCGATGGGTTTCGAACTGGGGACCTCTCGCATGTCAGTCGAGCACTCTATCCACTACACCACGAACACTGATGGCTGAACATCGTATCATTGTGGTAATGGCGTTCCGGGACCCCTTACCGGACGCCTAATCCACGTCTGGTTACCGGACGCCTAATCCACGTCTGGTTACCGGACGCCTAATCCACGTCTGGTTATCGGACGCGTATCCTCTGTGTTTTTGATAACCCATATAATGCTAAACCAAATGAAAGATGAGTGTAAATGTGAGCAAAATTTATATACTTATTAGGGTTTTCAATTTACAATAAAAAGACAAATGATAATGCAAAAACTCCGGAGTTAATTTTGATTAAAACTTTCTGCGTCTGTTTATCCCAATTCAATAATATTAATCTATTGTTAAACCCAGAAAATTGATTTGATTATCCTTTTGAATGTTATTTGAGTTGTAAGTTATTATTATGATTGTAGATATAGTTTCCAATATTCTCTAATCCTACAAATGTAAAAATTGCTGTTTCTTCTGAAGAGTAAGATGATGCCATTAAATTGGAATCATCAACATAAATAAATAATTTCAGAATTTTGCTTGTATGTTAAAGTATTTTCCATGTCCTTAAGATAACACAAATAAAGGAAAGGTCCCAAAATTGAACCTTGTGTCACCCCAAATTTAATTGGTTGATAAGTTGATGATGATTTGATAATTAATTCTATTATGATTTGTCAAATGGGTAATTTCCACAAATTAAGAGCTATTTTTCAAATAGGAAGAAAACCAATTAAGAGCTCTTTTATAATATATTCCAATAATTATTAGTTTTTCTAGTAATTTACTATTTTTTACACTATCAAACGCTTCTACAAATATGCTTATTGTATAATTTCCTTTGGCGACTGATTCAATAAAAAAAAAACAATTGTGCTTACAACTGATCTTCCATTCCGGAATCCATGCTGATTTTTATCGAAAATATTACATTTTTCCAAAAACTCTGATAGTTGTAAGTAGACGACTTTTTCGTAAAATTTAGAAATAGAAGAAAGAACAGATACTGGGTGATAATTGGAAATATTTTCTGTGTCATTTTTTGTGTAAAGGAATTATTTTTGCCTGCTTTAATATGTTAGTAAAAATGCCTGATACAAGCAGAGAATTGATTATATGACATACAAATTTGCTTATGTACGTTTTTGCAGCCTTTATTATTGTTACAGGAATTTCATAATGCCCAATAGTGTTTATTTTTTAAAGATTGAATGATTTTTTCCACCTCTCTTTCAGTGATCGGTTTCAGCTCAAATTTTGGCTTTACAAACAAGTAATCGATAAAATCAGCTTTCACATTAGTCGTCTCATTTTGATTGTTACAATTTAAATTTAAATCTGTATATTTTTTCATTATTTCTTGTCATTTTACCCAACTGTACTAACGTTAGTTATTAAACATGTCACTTGTTATTTTGTTATTATTTTGCATAATAATCTAAATTTCTTAGATGACGGGTTATAAATACTTTAACACGTTCA